ACCAGATATTGCATATGCTGTAAGTGTTAGTCAATTTATGCATTCACCCAATGTTTCTCATAGGAATGCAGTTGATTGGATATTAAGATCCTTAAAGTCAGCTCCTGGAAAGGGATTAATGTTCTCAAAGAATGAAAATCTTGACGTTGTTGAATATACATATATTGATTAGGCTGGTTCCATTATAGATAAACGCTCTACATCAGGTTATTTTACATTCGTTGGAGGTAACCTAGTCACTTGGAGGAATAAAATGTGGTTACTCGGTCTAGTGCAGAAGGAGAGTATCAAGGAATGGCACAAGAAGTTTGTGAATTATTGTGGATTAGAGGACTCTTGACAATGTTGGGTTTTAAACCAGAGAAGCCAATGGAGTTACATTTTGATAACAAGTTAGCTATCGACATTGCTCATAACCCAGTTCAACATGATCGAACTAAACATGTTGAGGTGGATAGACATTTCATCAAAGAAAAAATTGAGAACAATATCATCTGTCTACCCTTTGTAAAATCAAAAGATCAATTAGCAGATGTCTTAACAAAAGTTGTCTGTGTACAAGTGTTTTATGACTCACTTACCAAGTTGGGCATTGGTGACATGTCTGCACCAACTTGAGGAGGAGTGTTGACGTGAGTTAACCTATTAAATCAAGGAGATTTATTTCCTAAGTTAATTATGTGATTTACTTCTTTGTTTTATATACTTGACACATCCTTGTATAATTAGGAGATATTCTCCTAATTAATTACTGTATCTATTTCCTTGTAAAGCACCCTTGAAAACTCCTATATATACCTCCTTATGGAGAAGAATACAATTAACCTAAAGTATTCAAACCATATTCATATTTTAGCAAAAAACATGTACAATTTTCTCTTCTTTTTTTTTTCTTTTATCTATTCACTATCACCCATTTGTAGATAACAAACCACATTGGGATACGTCGCCCAAATCTTTTGCATCGAATGCAACTTCGGACACTACCTTTGCTCCTTTTCCTTTGGCTATGTAAAGGCCTATATAGTGACAAAATTAGAGCGTAGTCCAATCAAATGTATAAAAATATATTTAACGACACATTTTAAGGAGTACTTAATAGTGTAGTACTCAAGCATGGTCATGTGGTATAACTTGTCCACATGTCATAAAATAAATAAATATTTATTGACAGTGTATACTAAAAGTAGGGGTCATCATTAGGCCCGCGAGCCCATGGGCCTATGGGGGCCCGCCTGGCCCATTGATAAAAAGCCCAGCCCAGCCCGGCCCGACTCGTTATGGGCCATGGCCGGCCCGGCCCATTGTTGAGTGGGCTGGGCTTGGGCTTAGGTGTCTAAAGCCCGGCTAGGCCCATAGGCCCGGCCCGTTTGAGCCCAAGAAAGCCCCGGCCCCGGGCTCACATACATATAAATAAATATATTTTAAAAACCCAAGTTAAATGAAATATGGAGAAAATCATTATCTATTATCATTATAAGAACTATAAAAAAATGAAGTATGTGATAAAATATGATTTTATTAATATGGGGTTGTATAACTATATCTTTATATTTATGGAAAAAAAAAAAACTATGAAGTTATGAACAAAGAAAAGAATGGAGACAAAAACATATAGAAAAATGTAAATAGAGAACTATGAAGAAAAGAGGAAATATAGAAACACACCAAAACATAGAAAAATAAATAAATAATTGACAAAAAAAAAATACATATTAAAAAAAAAAGACAAAATAAAGTAGGCCCATTTAGGCCCGGCCCATGGGCTAGGCTTGGGCTTTGAATTTAAAAAAAAACCCGGCCCGTTATTTTCTCTCTCCTCTTTAAAGCCCGGCCCGATCTGGCCCAAGCCCATTAAATTTAGGCCGGGCTAGCCAGGCCCTGCGCATTGATGAGGCCTAGCTAAAAGTGAGAAATATAAACCATGTTATCCAATCATATTAGACCACGTGATACCATACAATAATTTCTCCGTTTGAATTTTATATATGTCATGTCAAAAGGGAAAAAAATAAAAGAAAATCAGAACAAGACAATTACTATAGTACATAGATTTGATTAGAATTTTGAAGTACCTGGGGATGAGCTACATCTTTGGAAGTGGTGGCAACTTCAACGGGAATATCAAAAGTAGCGCAACACGGGAATACACAATCACATCCTCCATAGGGACAAGGAAACCTCGATTTCTTGCATCTTCGGAAACGTTGGTGCCTATTTAATATGCATCACAAAATGCACAATTGCAGTGTTAACATATGTCACTGACAAAAGAAAAGTAATAAACTTAGAACCAAATTTTGAAAACTGATGTGGTACATAAATCCATCAATCTTATATACCAAATTTCCAGCACCGTCGGTACAAAAGCCATTAACAATGTCAACGAGGACAAGGCCGATCTTGACATCCCCTTGAGTACTAGAGACGTTTGGAACACTGGCAGCTCCTCCTCTAACAAATCAATAATCTGCTGAACCATTTGTTTTTCTTATCTTAAACTTTTGGTGTTGTTAAAGAAAATATGACACAAAAGTCAAATGAATGAAGGGTATCTATAGAAGTACTGGAAAATATGTTTATTAGGTGAGTTAGTGTAAAAGGAATAATCCTCAACCATGTCGTAATTAGACCACGTGATACCATACAATAATTTCTCCATTTGAATTTTATGCAATGCCAAAAGGAAATAAAGAAAAGAAAATCAGAACAAGACAACTACTAGCCATACAAAGATTTCATTAGAATTTTGAAGTACCTGGGGATGAGCTACAACATCTTTGTAAGTGTTGGTAGGAATATCAAAAGTGGCGCAACCACGGGAATACACAATCACATCCTCCAGAGGGACAAGGAAACCTCTATTTCTTGCAGACAAAGTGGTACACACAAAATCTAGGACACATATATCTGTGCATATCCCTACCAACAATATCTTGGAACACAAGGAAAATAAAAATAAATGGGAAAATTAGACAACAACAACAGAATTAATTTCAAGCAATTGGCAGTATTTGGCTTTGATCTGATTACTTTGCACCCAATTGATAAAAACATTAGAGCCATCTTTCTCAACGGAACCAAGGAACCCGTCGATGCAATCTTTATGCCTAAGTGTCACATTAGCTTCATTCTCCAACCATTGCAGGGCTGCAGATGATTGTGTAATTAGAGGAGAGCTACTAGGGAATGGAAAACACAAGAAGCAAAGAACAAAGGGTACTTGGGACTAGCTTTCCTTCATCAGTTCCAGCAATGCAATGAGGAGGATAAGGAGGCTCAGGAATGTGAATCAAGACTAGCAAAGACAGGCCATTTTCTGTCACAGAAAGCTCTTGCAAGTCTCACTGACTCGTCCACCATTTCAGAGATCTGCTTATCAGGCTGTCTTGGTGCCTATTTAATATGCATCACATAATGTGCAATTGAAGAATTAATCCATGTCACTGGCCAAAAGAAAAGAATTTACTCTTAACCAAATTTTAAAAACTGGTGTTGTGCATGAATCCATCAAATCTTATATACCAAATTTCCAGCAAGCCATTAACAACGTCAACAAGGATAAGGCCGGCCTTCACATCCCCTGTGAGTACCAGAGACGTTTGAAGCACTGGCAGCTCCTCCTCTATCAATTCAATAATCTGTTGAACCGTTTTTTTTCTCGTCTTAAACTTTGGGCGCTGCTAAAGAAAATAGGACACAAGTAAAGGAAAAGATAAGGGTGAGTTCAGGTCTATTCGATAGGGATGAATATGAGTTCGGTCTATTTGATAAGGAAGAAAAGCTTAAGAAAATGACACGAGTATATTTGTAAGTTTGTAACCCTTACCTCCTGCTAGAAATAGAGGTAAGTGACTCAAAGCTTTGTTTTCGCCTTTTGGTCCATTTATACGTTTGTCTTTGTATTTGGTACCATTATCTTATAAGGAAAAGATAAATATGAGTTCTATTCTCCCAAGGCATACGATTCTTGAAGAGATAAAGTTACCAGGTAAACCCATTACGAAAAATTTATTGTGTGAGAGTCCAAAGAGGAAAAATTATTCACAGAAACCCAACTCCCAGGAAATATTATTATTCATCCCTTTCTATTGATTCAACAAACTAAAGTTATTGTCAGTACACAAAGAAACAAAGTATTTACAGCATCCTTCTGCTCACCGGGCAAAAACATGTACAATTTTCTCATTCTTTTTCTTTTATAAAAAAAGGTACATTGCTGATTACTGTATTCCCTATCACCATCTGTAGAAAACAAAAAGAAAGTCTACCACATAATCAACACGAAGTGGAAGTCGGATCAGAAGGAGGTAAGGGTTACAAATATCCAACATATGGAACTTGAGTTGATAGGGATGGCAATTTTCCCTCATTGAATTGAACCTTATCCGCACCCCAGTTGCCATCCCTCTATATTTGGAGAAGAAACACAAAACTGGAGTTAGAAGACTAAAATGAGGCCTCATTTGTTCTTGTTATTGTTATCATCTTGTGGGAGTTGTAAACCCATTAGCCCAAGCAAATTGGAAGCAGGACCAGGAAGGCCTTGTTGGCTAGAAAATGAATCGAGGAAGTTCTTGACAAGATTCACATCCACGTCCACAGGAGTGAAATCCTCCTCCATGTCTTCTGTTGCATTCGACGTTCCCTGCGAGCACACAGTCAATTCATTTATCATCTGAAGAACAAAACAATATGCAGAAGTGCCATGATTTCATGCAAACATGAAAACAATATGCATTATCAATTTATAACTTCAGTGTGACCACATGCATAGCAACAAAGAAGAGTCTTGCTTAAAAATTTCAGTGAGACCAATATGTATGGCGACAAACTTTAGAAAGTTAAATTTACTGGTTAATAAGCAACCATGAGATGGAACATATATAATATTCTTAAAAAAATTGAATCATATCTCAATCACCAGACACAAAATCATTGTTCCTTCCCGTGTCCCTCTATTCCACCTCACCTGATGGTTACAGAGCATAGCACGTAATTTGAATGGTATGATGTGTGGATACCATTAAAAAAAACTCAGTTTCCTATCCCCATTTGCAAAAGAAGAAAAATAATACCTCATCCTTCTTTGGGGCTTGTTCATCAGCACGAAAAAAACTTTTCTTGAGAGTTGTAGCCTTCAATTCTTCATTTAGAGCATCAGAATAAGAATGCATGAAAGTATCCTCTCCCTCCTCGCTTTCATCTTCAGACTCATCTGTGAATATCACAAATTTAATTATAAAGTTTTCCAAATAAAATGAAACCAAGATGTCATTTAACAACTTGCTCTCCTTTTGGAGGGATAGATGTTGTTGACTTATCAGTTTCATCGAAAATGAAAAGTATTTTAGTTGACAAGACCAGAGCACAAGTATGGTGTCATTTGGCACACATCATACACATGATGAACCTCAAGTAAGAAAAAAAAGCGATTTTTTCTAAACAAGGAAGAAAAATACAAAAAACCCAGCAGCTTAAAAACATTATGATCGTGAACTTCAACGTATAACATCAGTACATCACAAACAAGTATGAGATAACAAAGTTGGATCATCCTTCAGATCAGGAAAAAAAGTGCAACATATCACTATTATCTCACATTGTCTGCATGAATGGTTTCCACACAAGTTATGAAAGGAGAGTCTTGATTGTTGTTTTCGAATTGCCATGTGCATGGACAACAGAACTTGGTTTTCCTTTGTTCAGGGGTTTCGGAGTTATGCGGAAGGTCTTTCTTCTACTAGTTTAGGATTTAGGGAAGAGAGTGGGCAGATAGAGGCATGCAAGGCGTTAGGCAGCTAGACATGCCTCTTTCCTTTAAGTGGTATGTTTCAATAACCAGAACAAACTAGCTTTACAAGGAGGGCAATGGAGTTTCCACCTAGAAATGACACCTCCATGTCTTTTTCTACAAGTTCTCGATTGTTGAGGATTTTATTAGATACTTGTTTATATTTAATGGAATAAGGGCTTTGGATGAAACCTGTGTACTTAGGTTGTGGTGTCTGGTTTTCTTTTTAATACTTTTTGTCCTTTTGGTGCACAAAGAGAGAGAAAGAGAGAGAGAGAGATAGTTTTTTTTTTCACTAACAAAAATTGAAAATATAAAGGAAACAATAAAATATGTACAACTTACCAAAGAAACGATAAAATATGTACAACTTACCAAAGTCCAAGTCGGATGAGGACCCTTCCTCAATACCATCATCACTAGTGGCATCCTCATCACCATGGCACTTCATCATTGATTCTACATCTTTAAAGAAACGGTCCGCATCAAAGTCTACTTCTTTTAGGTTCCTTCAAAAGAAGATTACAAAATATAATAAGATCAACTGAGCGCTAGTCTAATAAACACACAGACACCTAAAAATGATTTACTGCACAGTCCAAAGGTAGTGACTGGGAAACTTAATCAGGGAAAAACTAGAACTTGGCACCAAGTGCCAAATTACTCATCTTGATATTAACCAATTCACACAATCAAAACTTGTGACTTGCATTAGCTCGGTTCATCAAGGGCAAGTAACTACACGTACTCGTTCAAGATCACAACAGCATCAGGACTGAGCCAAGAAAGAGTTACATGGGCTCAAAATTCACACTAAGATTTAAGTAAATTTGCCAGCAATTTTAGTCACACAATCTAATCCTACAATTAGTTAACATACACAACATTCAGCATCCAGACTTAAGGCATTGATCACTGCAAGCATAAGACGTGCAAATTACTTATTTCTTATGACAGAAAGGAGATGTATTCTAAAGCCGCTGGCACTATATTATGACACATGGGAGCAACTTAAAATCTAGCCCCCAGCAATAAAAATGTATGCTGACGAGTCACATCCATGTCAATGTACTCCTATTTCTGTGTTTGGGACAAAAATGGTGAGATGAACAATAGATACGTAAACAAAAGAACACTAACCTGTTCTCGGGAACCTCAGCCCCCTCGTAGCTCGACATCTTCTGGACAAATGCCTGCATGGTTTTTGCTATATCACCAGGATTGAACCCATCAACGTTAGAGCTGGATGATGGACCAGCATTGTCCTGCTCTTTTGACTTTTGATTCTTTTTCTTTTTTGAATTATAATGTTCGATCTCCTTTTGTCTCTCCAAAAGTTCTGAGTTCAATTCCTCCTCTCCATTGTAAAGCCAAGAATCATCATCAGAAGGTGGAACCTCTTGACCCCTAAAATCATCCGCTGTATAAGGTAAAGCTAGGATCTCATCTATGCGTCTCACAGGAGCACTCATCATCTCACTGCAACAATAGTAACACCTTCGTTAATTCCCAACTAACAGAACAAGAAAAATCCAATTAAGATCTAAACAGAAATCACTTTCAATCCAATGTAAGTCTTTACATCTAACGGAAACAAAAGCATAATAAGACCACAATAACCATATACATATCAATGTATCATCACTTTCAAGTACCTTGTCCTCGAAAAGGAAGCACTACTCCGATAGTACTCCTCGGCATTCTGCAACAACCTCTGGTACTCTTTCGACCCGGGAATCAACCCTTCAAGGTATCCACTCCTCTCCAAACTCTCCCTAAACGCGATCCAACTACTCCCTTTCCCTTCCAACCCCTCCTTTCTCCTTTGCTGATACATCATCTCCAAACCACATGCAATCTTCATCCCCAATTCGGCCTCCAAATACGCCACCCCATCCTCGCTCCTATTCGGCATGGGATAACACTTTGGCGCCTGAAAAGCCTGTTGCACCAGCTGCGCATACATTGCCCTCGACATCTTCACCGCTACACACACCAACTCCTCTTCTCTCCCTCTGCTCAGAAACCTCTCCATCTTGGCCGCATACTTCATAGTATCAATGTCACGGTCGTAGAAACCCTCAACGGCCAAAGCAATCAAGCACGGTTCTTGACTCAAGACCTGCGCAACCGACGCCGGAACTCTAACCCTAACCACATGCATATTCCTCCTCGCCTTCTCCGGATAGTCCGATATCCGATTCTTCACCGCAAGCTGAACCGGTTCAGGGGCAACTGACTCCTGGCCGAAATTCACAATGAAATTCAAAGATTCGGTGATGCTTGGGTTCGGGAGCCGAGATTTTGGGACGATATGGAGGTTGCCATGGCGAATAAACACGCGGTTGAGACTGTTTTGGGGGTTGAGCCAGCGAGGAAGGTGATAGGCCGCTTCGATGAGTAAGAACTCGCCGTCCGAGTCCCATACCCGGATGGAGAGGTCAGGGAAGGCTGTGGAGATGTGGAAGAGGAGGAAGACGGTGAACCACTCGTCTTCGAAGTTGTCGGCGACACGAAGCTTGCCGTGAAGGTGAGGGAGGTGGTGGTCGAGGGAGCAGACGCATGGGGGTTTGGGGAGAGTGGAGGGGGAGAGAGTGAATGGTTCGTGCTGCCATATGTAGTCGGCGGTGAAGGGAGTGAGGGTTTTGAGGATTTGGAGATGAAGCGATTGGAGTGAGGCGGTGGTGGAGGAGGAGGTTAGGGAAGAGTCAGGGAAGATGGCGTAGAAAACGGTGTCGTCTGGGAGTCTGGAATTTTTTTGGGAGAAGATGGAGGAAGATGATGGGTCGGGGTCTGGTGCTGCCATTGTTTTGCGCTCTCGGTTGGTCACTCGGTGCTGCGTATCACTTGTGCAGTTTCTGCTGATTTCTTGAATGTTCGGGTTTTTATTTTGAGGAGGAAGACGTTTTATTTTTGTATCTAAATAGTTATATGGATATAGCGGTGTATTTACACGCATTGAAAAAAATATTAATTATTAAATTGACCAAATAATGGGCATTTATATGATTTTTTAATTTTTTTTTGGTTTGAAACACGAGGTGGTCCTGGATGGGCCACAACTATGGGTGGCACCTTTAAGCCTTAACCACAACCCAGACTAATCCCCGCTCATACCGGGTCGGCCCGTAAAGGGTAAAGTGCTAGGCAAAGTGGTGACTCCATACAAGAGTAGGGATCGAACCCCTAACCTCTCTTAAGAAATGAGAGTGCCGAACCACTCACACCAACCACATTGGTTGGCATTTATATGATCTTTCAATAGTGTGTAGAATTGAATATGAGGAGGAGGGGTGGGTGGTGGGGGAAAGGCTCCAACTCTATGCACTTTGGTTAAACAACTATTTTTGTGTTCTTAGCCATTTATCTACCCTATTTATAACCCTAACTTTAATCTAAACATTCAGAAATGAAAACAATCCAAGGGCTCTTAAAGAACAAGACGCATTATCACGGCTTATGCCTTCCTTGAAAAACATACATGCCTCATTCACTTATCATGCACACACTATTGAAAAAAATACTACAAGTTAAAATTAAATAAATAATATTGAAAGATCATATAAAGGCCCAAATTTCATTAGATCAATCTAATGGTTAACATTCTTTTAAATGTGTGTAAATGCACTAATGCTAAATGAAGAGGCTTGATATCCTCTCAACATGCCCACCATTCTCTATATTCACACTTGCTACTTTGTTTTGTTTTTCGGTTAAATGCCTTTATTGATATTGAATCCAATTTATTGTAACTCACAAACAGTTTTTGAGTTCAAAACCCATAATTCATGTTTGGTAAGGCCCAATTTTCAAAAATCCAACTCAAAAATGCCCATTTTTTAAAACACAAAAAGTGACGTTTCAAAGTTTTTTTTCTCCCTCCTCTCTCCCTCTCTCTCTTTTTCATGCAATGGGACTTTGCCCCCGATTCTCCTTTTCTCCTCCTCTCTCTCTCTCTTTTGCCCCTGCCCAGATATGGAGGTAGATGAATGAGTTTTTGAAAACTTTTTTTAGATTTTAAAAATAGTAGTTTTGAAGTTTAATACCAAACAACTTTTTAGTTCTTAGAAAATATATATTTTTAAAAAGAATCATGGTTTTTGAGTTCACTTTTGAGTAGGATACCAACAATGGACTAAAATTGAAATGGTTATCAAACGGCCCTAAGAGCATTCACAATGAGCTCCCTATCCACCTCCTAAAATAGGGAGACCTCTAGGAGTTCCTAAATATGAGGAGAGAGAAATGACTCATATTGGCTCCCTATAATTTAATGTTGCGTTGTTTTTTGCATAGTTTAAACTTTTAATTAATGCTAACAATTGTGTTATATTATCTTTTTATGGAGATGGACCAATCATATTGAATTAAAAAAATAACTATAGTATTTATGACTCCTTAAACTAGGGAGTATGATTGGAATTCAAATTTTATATAGAGCTCCTAAAATAACTTTTATGTGTTTTTTAGCCAAAATTTAACCATATTTCAATCCATAATAATATTTAGGTGTTTAAGGGCCGTTTGTTACACAGGTTTGGCTTGTCCTGGCTTGGACTAAATTTAGTACCATGTTTGTTTCATCTAATCCTAGTCTTAGATGGGATTGCTAATACTAGGCCCACCAAAAACACCTCCTTAGAAGGGGACTACTAAACCCATGTGGAAAGGGAGGATTAACTAATCCCATGCTCGCCAATGTATAAGATGCATATATTATATTGTATTAATAATAACCAGTCTCGTTCTCCTGGTCACCAAGGGTCTAAGGAATTTGTGGTCACCCACCCTTGAATCTAATCTAAGGGTGGAGAAAAAACTAATTTAAAAATTCATATTATATTATTTTTACTTAAATAAAACAAGTTTCTGTGGAAACAAAACACATTCTAAACTCTTGCATAGCCGCCTCCAACTCCATGGAGGTCGACACCCCTATAACCTTTAGTCCCTCCTCATGGTCCTCTTTAGATTTTCCAACTCCGGCGTTGCGAATTCTTCCGATTTAATTTTTCATCTCTTGTGGATTGACAAAGACTGAAGATTTTGGGTCTCAAGTTCTTGATTTGCAAACTAGATGTCTCAAGTTCGAACTCCCATGACATCATAGTTTTTGGTGTGTGTGAGAAATCATCATCCCCTGTAATTTAGACTATCACTTGTACTAAAAATAAATAAATAAAAAGACTGAAGATTTTGGAAAACTTAAATTTGGGGCTCTTTGAATTCTTTGGTTTCTACCATTGTTTTTCATTCTCTTTTTGGTACATTGTTGAGAAGTTGATATTGGTTGATTGATGATTCAATGGTGTATTGGTATGTTTGGAGGTAGGCAGCGGCTAGCATCCTGGAGAATGTGTTTTGTTCAATCGACACCACAAAAAGATAGAACCTGTTTTTTTTGTTTTGTTTTTTTACACAAAATTTGTTTTGTTTAATTGAAAATAATTTAAACTAAACTTATATAAATTTTTAAATCAATTTTTTCTCCATCTTTAGATTAGATCCAAGGGTGGGTGACTACAAATTCCATAGACCCTTGGTGACCAAGAGAACGGGACTGTAATAATAACATATATTACTATTATTATTATTATATACCCATATTCATATATTATATTATATTATACTTACGTACACATATACTTTAATGTACATATATACATGTATATACACATATATATAATATATGTATATATGTACATATATATACATGTTGGGGTCTTTTTCCGTCGGAAGGCTCGTCCGGGCTTGTTGATTCTCGAATCGCCATAGAATGGTGGATTAAGCCTTCGTTGCCCCTTTTTCTGAGTTAGCGAGGACTAGGCCCAAAGCATCC